GGGGGGATGGTGTGGCTGGGTAACAGGCACTGAGGGGGGCACTTAATGGGATGAGGACTGGATGTTATACTATATGTTGGCAAATTGAACTCCAATAAAAAAGTATACAAAAAAACGAGAAGGAATTCATGCAAAAAACATTGAACTTATTGTCAAAAAATAAAAGTAAATAAAAATTTTAAAAAATAAAAATAAAAGATAAAAAACAGTTGCAATGTGACATGTGACTAGTGCAACTCAGAAATTGAATCTTAAAAAGTTAAAATTAATAAAACCACATTGGGCTAGTCACTACCATATTGGGCAGTGCAGGTCTAAACTTTCCTATTTGTTATTTTGCATATTGTGTTATTTGTTCCTTGTTGCTTTTCTAGGATTATTTTTAAAGCTTTTTTTTTCTCTCTCTCTATACCCTATTTATATAGCACTTAAGATACCTGCTCTTTGAAGGTTTTAATAATTCAACTGAGAAAACACCTTGACCCGACATTATTTTTAACTTCCTTAGTATATTCTGTAATTATAGATCTAATTATATTTTCTTTTTCTTCTTGAGTAATTTTTGTCAAGATGTTTTATGAGAAGCCATCTATTTTGTATAGACCTTCGAATGTATTTGCATGACTTGGAGAATGCTTCTCACTACTTATTTCCAAATCCATATGTTTGTAATTATTTCTGAATTCTCAGTTCTCAGTCTATAAACTTTTATCTTTTTATTTATCTAGTGACTCGTTTTGTTCTTTGTTTTCCTAATAATTCACTAAGCTTTTAAATCATGTGTGCTTGTTATTATCTTGTAAGTATCTTTTTTATAAGCATATAAGTGTTTGCTTTATATTTGCAAATGCCTTCCTCTTAATTTTTTCTTTTTCTTTTTTTTTCCAATTTAAACAAATTGAATTTCACTATTTTACACATTTCTATTCTTTCTTCTTCAGTTACCTGAATGTTTGAGGCAAAAATTTCCCTTTTACACTGGGGTTACTTACACTCTGTGGGTTTGGGTATATTTCACTTATATTAAAAAATAAACTATGAGAAGGAGAGAAATGAAAAGATTGATCATGGAGGAATTTTAAGGCAGTGAAAGTACTCTGTATAGGATTACAGTGATGAATATTTATCATTCTACATTTGTCCAATCCTCTAAGCTATACAAACACTAAGAGCAAACCCTAAGGTAGGCAATGGATTTTGGATGATTATGTTGTGTCAGTGTAGGTTCATCCCCAGTAAAAATGTAGCATTTTAGTGAGTGATGTGGATAATAGGGGAGATTATGCATATGTGAGGGAAGAGGTGAATGAGAATTCCTGCACCTTTCTCTCATTTTTATTGTAAACCTAAAATTGCCCTAATAAGTAAAGTCTTTAAAGATGTAATAAATAAATGATAAAAACGGTTCTTGTTTAACTCAAGAATTATTTGAGAGAGATAGTTTTAAATTGCATAGAATTTAGTTAATTTTTACTACTTTTTCCCACTAGTGTTCAAAAGATTGTAATATATGCTTACAGATTTTGGAATTTGTTGTGATTTTTTTGTGGCTTAATGTATAGCCATTATAAATTATTTTAAGAATGTTTTAAAAGAGTATGTTTTATTGAACGAATTATTAATCAAAGGCTCTATAGGCTTATTTATTTTATTTTTTTTCATCTAGTATTCGCTGAAAGAATTATTGAGCTTTTAGTTTTACTTTAATTTCATCCAGTTTTGAATCTATATTTTTGATGCCAAGTTGTTTGGTTTATAAAAAGATTCATAACTGTTACATATTTCTGTAGATTGCATGTATTATAATTATAGGGCACACAGCACATTTGTCTTGTACAATGCATTTGGCCTTTAATTAACTCTTATGTGATGTTAATGTCAGGACCCTGCTTAATATTTGTTTGCATCTGCCTGTGTGTCTTTGCCAATACTTATTATTTTCAATAATAATGTGTCACTTTCTTTTACATATGTCTCTTTTATACAAGAATAACGTTCCATAACATTGTTTTTCCCATTTACTCAGCCAAATTTTCCAGTTTACTTTTATCATTGTTAGAATTAACTTTATTTCCTTTGTATCTATCTTTTGTTATATGTGTTATATTTGCTATATTGCTTTTGCTTTCCTTTTTATTTTATCTTTAGTCACTTGAAATGTATAGAGCCTAAATTTTAATTTATTACTGCTGCTTGCCTTTATATTTTCTAATGAGAGACTAACATCTCAATTTCTTAATTGATCAACTTTTTAGTATAATAATTTCCTACTATGAAAGGTAATTAAATTAGTATGTTTAAATTTGTTTAACATCCTGTTTTCTTCTATTTCTCTCTCTCTTTTTTTCTTTTTAGAGAGAGAAAGAGAGAGGGAGAGAGGGGCAGAGGGGGAGGGAAAAAGAGAATCTCAAGCAGGCTCCACACCCAGCCCAGAGCCCCACAGGGCCTTGATCTAACAACTCTGAGATCACAAAGTGAGCTGAAATCAAGAGTCAGACATTTAAACAACTTTGCCACCCAGGCATGTTGCCTCCTATTTACATTGCCAGTACTCTATTTTTTCTTACACACACACATTTAAAAAAAATTTATTATGTTACAAATCTTTTCTTTAAATGTTTATTATTCTTAACATTGTATTTCTTCATAATCAACACATATTGTCTTCAATTAAAAACATTAGATCATAAACTCATCATTCTATGTTCAGGTATCTACACATTCAGGACATACTAATTGTGTAGCCTCTCTCTGTCAGACCCTACTGCTGGTGTGGGGGCACAACAGTGAGCAGTAAGGCAGAGAAGACTGCAGTCATGGAGCTTACATTTGGGTAGATGAGAAACTAGCAATGACAACATAAATAAATAAATAAATAAATAAATAAATAAATAAATAAACCAATACATTCTACATAAAAAAGTAGCACATAAAAAAAATACTAGTCAGTCATGTTTCCTTCTAGATGATTGTTAAGGGAGGCTGTTTTGAATTAAAATGCTTAGACTCAATTGATGAGAGAAAGGAGCATTTTAGTCAGCCATACAAAATATGAGGAATGGGCATTTTAAAGGGAAAACTAGTGTGGTATTTTATTGGTTCTATCAATACCTTGGTTAGGAATTATCCTTTTGTCTATTTTTCCTCTTCTCTCACTTATGTTGCATATATTTTTAATGTTTTTACATGTATATACTTTTGGATATATATATCTCGACAAATTGATTTTCTTAGTGTTATAAAATTCCCCCTTTTTTCTCTGGTAATACTAAGTGTCTAGGGTTTTATCTTGATTAACATTAAGAATAACAAATGATTTTTCATGCTTTTAAATATACATTCTTTTCCATCTTTTTACTTTTCAACTATGTGAGCCATTAAGGTATATATCCTTATATAGTTTGTTATAAACAAACTACACTGACTTTTTTTTCTTTTTAATCAGTGTAACAATCTTTGCATTTATTTGGAGTATTTAGCCCATTTACATTTAATGTATGATTTTTTTTGTGATTTAATATATCATCTTGAATTTTTTTCCCTACTGGATCATTCTGTTTCCTGTTCCTTTTTCATTATTTTATTCCTACTTCTGGCTTAAATATGTTACTTTCAATATTTTATTTTAACACTTCCATGGACTTTTTTTAGTTGTTGTTGATCCTCTGTGTATGTGTGTGAGTGTGTGTGTGTGTGTGTGTGTCCTAACTTATCTCTGTTTGCTTAGAATTAATATTGTACCACTCTGTGTAAAGTGTAAGAAACATTCAGTGGTATAATTCTACTCTTCTACCACAATTTTTGTGGTAATGTTGCCATGAGCTTTTAATTTATGTTGTATTTAACAATTTACAAAGTTATTAATTTTTTTAAAATTTCAATTGTCTATAAAGAAATCAAAAGAAAGAACAAGGTATAATATCTTATATTTGCTTTCATATTTGTCATGTTCTTTGTTTCTCTTTTTTTTCTGTAGACTCAAGTTTCCTTATGGTGTATTTCCTCTCTCAGAAAAACTTTCTTTAGCATTACTTGTAGAGCACATCAGCAGTCAATAAATTCTCTCAGCATTTGATTATCTTAAAATGGCTCTGTTTAATCTTATTTTTTAAAGGATATCTTCACTTATAGATAAACTTCTAAACTTCTGGGTATATAAACTTCTGGGTAGCTTTTTGCTTAATTTTAGTTTTACCTCTAATCCTATTATGTCTTTGTCTCTACTGTTTCTGACAAAAAGTAAACCATTAATCCTATTTTTGTTCCTTTCTAAGAAATGTGTTTTTTTTCTTGGTTTGTTTTTAAGATTTCTTTTTTGAGTTTGGTTTTTGGCACTTTTATGTCTATATATAGTTTTAGTTGCCTCTGTGAGTTTATATTTTTTAATCAAATTTGGAAAATTCTCAAATTTAATTATTTTTATATTTTTATTTAATTATTTTTATTTTTTTTCTGTTTTGATAACTCCCTTCTGTTTCTGGGACTCTGAAATTTTAATATTAAATCCCTTCATATTGGGCAGCTTGGGTGGCTCAGCGGTTTAGTGCTGCCTTCAGCCCAGGGCCTGATCCTGGAGACCCAGGATCGAGTCCCACATCAGGCTCCATGCATGGAACCTGCTTCTTCCTCTGCCTGTGTCTCTGCCTCTCTCTCTCTCTCTCTCTCTCTCTCTCATAAATAAAAAAAAAAAACTAAAATCTTAAAAAAAAAATCCCTTCACATTGCATACTGATCATTAATAACCTACCTGCTTTGCTTTCAGAAGTTTCTGTGTTCTTTAGGTTGTTCTTTAATTTGTTGGCTCTTCTTTTCTGCCCTCTACCTCTTCCTGTTAAGCAAATTGGATGAATTATACATTTCAATTACTGTACTGTTATTTTTGGAATTTCCATTCTACCTTCTTAAAATTTCTAAGTTTTCCTTTCTAATCGCCCATTATGCCTTATTTCTCTTTAAAATGCCAAACATACTTTTATTAGCTGCATTAAAGTTGTTAATCTAGCTTTGCACAGTGGTAGTATTGTAGTCAATTAGGTTTATCTGAGGCACCATTATTGCTAGTTGTAAAGTTTCTAATCTATTTCCAACATTTATATTGTATCAGAATCTATTGACTTTTTAAAAACTAATTATTGGCTATGTTTTCTACGACTTTTATAATTAGTATTTTTTAATTTATTCTGAAAATCATGGATGATACGTTGTACAGTGTTTGGAATACCTACCTTCCTCCACAGGGTAATTTTTGTTTTTATAAACAGATAAATTATTGGCAGGTTGTTTCACTCCTGTCAGGTTTGTTTTTATTCTTATTAGTGTTCGTCCACTTAAAAAAAATTATTCTTGGAACCAGCATTATGCAACCTTGGGTGTTCTCTCTGTTCAGTTGTCAGCCCACAGAAGACCTACTCTGTTAGGCCTGTTACAGTCAGAAGATCAACTTGTTTATTTTCCTTCTTAACTGTCATGGTTCTGAGTGCCAGACACAGTTGCCTCGAATGTTTTATCCATTTTTAGAATTTTTACAGCTAGGTTGTAAGTCTGATATTACTTACTCCTTCGTGCTTTTTAAATATCTATTTCTTTCTAATTCTTTATATCTTTAACTTTACGTGCATCACATTTATTCTTAAATGTCTTCCATACTAGCCTTATCAAATACAGTTCATCTACATCACTATATTCTAATCCTGTTTGTGTCTTGTTAACCATGGTATCCTGAGCTCTAGACAATCCCGTGTATAACATAAACATTCAATATACACTTATAAAATTAATTATTATTGTTTCGATATAGAGAACTTAAGGTATACAGTAAAATATGACAATAATTAAACAATCACACAGATAATACCAGCACAAATGCTGTTTAAGTATTCTGAAAGACAGATGTATGATCTCTGAATACATATAAGAAAAGAACCATGGGATGGAAAACATTTTGCTTAGAGAAGTGTGGTTTTTAGGTATAATCAAAGGATAAATAGAAATTTACCTTCCTGAAAGGAAGTAGGGAAAAACATTACAGTGAAGCATGTAAAAGAATAGACATTTCTAGGAGAGAAGAGCATTACAAACTTTTCTTCCCAGGTTGTCACCTTACCCTTCTTCCCAACTAAGTTGAGAGTATCTATGAAAAGTTTGAGAATTTTTTCCACTTTTTGGTAAGGAGAGTAAAACAAAACAAAACAAAAAACTAATTGATCATAGCTTATATTTTGATATAGTTTTGTCAAATTTGAGAGAGGCAAACTTTATGATACTGCATTGCTGTTACCATCACTTTAAAGACAGATGTGTAATGCTAATAATAATAGTGAAAATTGAGGGAAAGGATGGTTAAATTTCCATTGATAAATGATCAGTCACGTTATTATATGCCATATATATGACAAGGACTTCTGCAGTACATATCTTCTCATCCCTATTAAAAGAAACCAGTTTTCTTGGATGCAGCAATGTGTCCAGCTTAATTTGCTTCCAAATGATAGTAACATACTAGTTTTTTCCAATTTTATTAAAACAGAATTGATGTATAACATTGTATTAGTTTAAGTATACAACCTAATTATTTGATATATATGTATACTGATAGCACATTTCTGTCCATTGAGCTTTAAGTGGTAACTTTTAGGTAAAACTTCGAGGAATACTCTTTAAAGAAGGCAGAGGAAGGCACATGGTGTTCTTTTTTGTCACCTTCTTCCTTTCTCTTGCCTGGAATATTGACCTGATGGCTGAAACTGTACCAACCTCTTGTAATTAAGAAATAAAAGCCAAGAGAATTCTTTTGTTGAAAAGTATTTGAGCCATAGGATCACAAACTACAACTTCATAATTTCAAAGCTATTATTCCAAGGAAAACATAATATAGTCTCATTTTACTAAATCACTAACTTTGTGCATGTGTATGTGATGGGTGGGAGAAGGTTGTGTTACATGCAGCTAAATGCAAATTCCTGACTAATATGCCCTATTTTATATAATATTTTAATAAACCCATTAATAAAGTTTATGTGTACTCAGTTTACTGAAACTGAAACATGCCCATGGCAAACTTGTGATAAAATATAGTTTAAGGGATGCCTGGGTGGCTCAGCTATTAAGCATCTGCCTTTCACTCAGGTCATAATCCCGGGTCTGGGAACTGAGTCCCGCATTGGGCTCCCTGCGAGAAGCCTACTTCTCCCTCTGTCTGTGTCTCTGCCTCTCTCTGTGCATCTTTCATGAATAAATAAATAAAATCTAAAAATACATATATGATTTAAAACCCTAATATAAGACAGCTCTCTCTCTCTCTCTCTCTCTCTCTCTCTCTCTCTCTCTCTCTCAAATTGAATGTGACTGAGGGGAGAGATAGATTGATCAACCAAAAGATAGGTTTGGGTTGCAGGTAACCACTTCTTAAATCCAGTTTAAGTAGTATTTTACTTTTACTTGCCCCATTGTTTTTTAGTTGGAGTATAAATAAGCCTTGTAGTCAGAGTGAGAGCTTTTGTCAAGGGCAGCCTGAGGAGTATCGATGAATTTCAGATCTGGAAGCTTTTCCTTTTTTGTTGACAATGGCAATGAGAAGGGGAGAGAAGAGGTTTCAGGCTGGTTTTACATATGAATCACTTATGTATTTCGGTATCAGTTGGCAGCAGTTGCTTCACTCTTTCACCAATGGTTTTATCTGTTATTAATCTGTCATTTTTACCTGTCTTGGTCATAAAACCAACAGTTAGGGATCAGTGATATTATGGCTCTGATGTAAATAGGGCTTTTAAAGGTAAGGTCCCGCATGTACCAGTTTGTTTGGGACATTACTGAGCTTTCACTTGTCCAAGAGTAATTAGTCCCCATTTTCAGTCTCAAATATATCTATTCTGGACAATGAATAACTTGATCACTGTCATTGTAGTGAATCCTAATGTTCAAGGAGAACTCAGCTGGAAATACTGATCTATCTCCAAGTACTTGAATTCAAATTCATCCCTTTATAATACACACAATACAGTAAGGATAAATAGGGAGAAATAAAGTTTCATGGAGAGTTCCACTTAACTAAAAAAGGGACAATCTTCCTCTTAAGTACACCTTTAGGTGGAAATTCAAAAGTCATTACCAAACACTTTTATTCCTTCTCTTTTTAAGTAAAAACACTGAAAAATCAGGAATTTTCCCAATGTCTCTCAATTAGACATGAATATATTATCAGTTTTTGGCCAATAAAATGTAAGGGAAGGTCTTGTGGAACTATTTCGCTTTTCTGACAATAGGAAAGAAAATCACGTGGTGACTCACTTTCTCTGTTCTAATTTCTGTATTGTTTTTAGGCTTTGAGTCTGGTCCAGATACCTGGAACTATGGAAATAGTCTTGAGACAATGAGGGCTTATAGGTACAAGAAAGAAAAATTGATATCCTGAGGATGATAGAGTAGAAGCTGAGCAAAAATCTCCTTAGAGATACTCATTAGCTACTTTTCCAAATGTGAAATTCTCTAACTTCAGATAATCTGTTATATAAAGTAATTTAACTCTTTTTTTTGTTAAGTGACTTCTAGTTGGATGTTCTGTTCCTTGCTAGGAAAGTAAAAAATGAACGAATGTATTCTATGGGAATGATGCAAGTAGAATATATTAGGGGTCTATGGGATAGTTAGGTTTTATTTATTTTTTTTTAAATTTTTTTTATTTATTTATGATAGTCACAGAGAGAGAGAGAGAGAGAGGCAGAGACACAGGCAGAGGGAGAAGCAGGCTCCATGCACCGGGAGCCCGATGTGGGATTCGATCCCGGGTCTCCAGGATCGCGCCCTGGGCCAAAGGCAGGCGCCAAACCGCTGCGCCACCCAGGGATCCCCGATAGTTAGGTTTTAAATAAATTTTAGCAACTGCACTTAAAATTTTAGGGTGGAAACCCTAAAAGAATTGTTATTCACTCTATATCTTGTTTTATGACCTACACCCTAGGATAAAGCTATCCCTTTGCCTATTTCTTATCTCCTTAAGGAAGTTCTATTCAGAGAACAGGTATACTGACATCTGAGCTATATGCTATCAGTTTTAGAAATGGATAGAGTGGGAAGAGAAATTTAATTGGCCAAACTAAGACCCATAAGTAATCAGTAGAGAGTGAAGCAAAGAATACCTGGCTAAAGAAACAAATGTATTATAATTAGACCAATTATCCTAGATGTAGTTCATCAGCTTGTAGTGATAAAAGCTGTTAATGAGCTTTGTCACTGACAGCGTTACTTTCTAATCTTAATCCTTTTTAGGGTTATTAGCTTTAATGCTACTTGCACAGAGATAAGTTAATTTATACTGAAATTAAATTGAAAAATAACAAGTAGTGATTGTTGCATTTGAGCAGAAACTTACGAAGTTTTCTTGCTGACAAAACTTACTGAGGGCAGTGCAAAAGTATCCAGAAGTACTTGAGCAGATGGAGGAGATTCAGAACAAGAGTAACATTTGTTAAAGGAAAGGCTCATAAATATTCCTGAGGACAGTCACTCAATTTATAGTTAATATCATCTAATGAAGTGAATGATAGCTATTTTATTTGCTGTTAGGTATCCATACCCTAAGTTCTGTATGCCATCAAAAAAAAATTCTTCAACACGATAAACTTTTGAAAAAGACTCACTGAACATAATGATTGCTCTACAGCCACATGTACAGTACAGATGGTCCTTGACTTGCAATGGTTTTACTTACAATGTTTCAACTTATAATGGTGCCAAGTGATACACATTTAATAGAAACTGTACTTTGAATTTTGATCTTTTCCCAAGCTAGTGATATGTAATATGAGCAATCATATGTAATATGATTCTGGGCAGTGGCAGGAAGCTTCAGCTCTCAGTCTCCTACCCATTCACAAATGTAAACAACAAATATACCTACAACCATTCTGTTTTTTCACTTCCACAATATTCAATACATTACATGAGATAACAAGACTTTATTATGAGATAGACTTCATGTGATATGATTTTGCCCAACTTTAGTCTAATATAAGTATTTTGAGCATGGCTGAGGAAGGGTGGTCCTACTTATGTTCTTTAGTTTGGGTGTATTAAATGCATTTTCAGCTTACGATGCATTTATCAGGATGTAACCCCATGATAAATTAAAGAAGATCTGT